AAAATAATAAATATAAAAAATAAAAATTAAAAAAAAGAAGGCTGCTAATCCTAATAGGCTATAAACAGGTACTACCTTTATAAAAAAGGAAGGATGGACTCAGGACAAAAACAAGAGCCCAGAAAGCTGATCCATGAAACCCAGTTACAAGGAGTCTAGCACTTGGCCACTGGGTTTCAGAACTATTGTGGACTAGTGACTTTTTATTTACTTTTTTGTTTGGTTTGTTTTTTTTTTTTTTTGAGACAGGATTTCCTTGTAGCCCCAGCTAGCCTAGAACTCACTGTGTAGATCAGCCTGGCCTAAATCTCATAGAGATCCGCCTGCCTTTACCCCAGTTGCTGGGATTAAAGGCGTGTTCATATGTCCTTTTTTTTTAAAGGCAAATATCTGTCCTTCTCTTTTGACCCCCCCCCACCCCATCCATATTTCTATCTGGTACATTCTTAACAAACATTTTCCCCATGTCCCAAAGATTTTCTGTAACATTTATTGCAGTATGAGTCTGCTGGTGAGAATTTCTTTGCAGTTTTTGTGTGTCTGAAAAAAGCTTCTGTTTATAAAGGTATTTTCACTGAAAACTGAATTCTAGGTTCACAATTTTTCCTTTCAGTTGCTTAAAGTTGTTGCTTCCTTACTTTAGCTTGTGTCTCTCATTACTCTCGTTTCCTTGAATTCTCAGTTATGTTTCCTTAAGAGAGGGAGTTTATGAGACTTCGCTTGTGTGTACTTTATGTATACTTTGTGTTTACTTGTGTGTACTTTGTGTGCCGTGTTCTGGATCCTCCCAATGTTCTGTCTTTTTGTTTTCTTATATTTAATGTCTTGGAAACCATTGTGTAATTTTTCTCCAAAATTTGTCTTGGGTGGGAAAATATCTAGCTTCTGTAACACTATCTTGGCTTAAAGTTAAAGCCCTTTTATTTTTAAATAATAATTATGAAAATCTCAAACATATATAGAAACATAGAGTGGTGTTTGTGCATCCTCACATTCCCATCACCCAGCATCATTATCATCCTTGGGTCAGTCTTGCTTTATCAATTACCTCTCTTCTCAGTCTTTCTGTCATTCTCTATAAATTAATTTGAATGAAGCCACATTTTAACCCTAATTTAGTATGCATCTCTGTTATATACCAAGGCAATAATACCTTTAAAAACATAACCATTTTACCTTTGCCATACTGAAATACATACTCTATAATACCTTTGCCATACTGAAATACATACTCTATAATACTTTTAACCATGTTTGTTCAGATTTTTCTAATTTTGCTTGCTTGTCTGTTTTTAAAGTTAAATTGCTTGAAAGAAAGGATCCTGTTAATTCATTCCTTTTAGTTCCCATCCATCTTGTTGTCTTTTAATTTTTTTTATTTTATGTGTATGAGTGTATTGTCTGCATGTACATAATTCACCTGTGTTGTGCAATGACTGAGAAGGTCAGAAGAGGGCATCGGATTCCCCTTGAATTGGAGTTACAGACGGTTGTCAGCTATCACGTGGGTGTTGGGAATTGAACCTGGGTCCCCTGCAAAAGCAACCAGTGCCCCTAACTGCTGAGCCATTAAGTTGGTCTCTTGATACCATTATCCAGACTTGGTACTATTATAAATCAGGTGAGCTTTAGCTTTCAATAGCTGGTGGTTCTAGCCTTCTCTCTTCCACAGCTACAACTTTTTCCCCACCACACCTTTGGTTTTGTCTTGTTTCTTCCTAAACTGTAGATATTTATCATCCTTTTCCTTTTTCCTCCCTCCTTCCCTCCCTTCTGACAGGGTCTCCCTGAGTAGCCCAGGATGGCCTTGATCTTGCTGTCCTCCTGCCTCTATCTCACTGAATCACAGACCTGAGTTACCGTACCTGGCTTGGTGGTGCCAACATAAACTTAAAAACCTTCGGTGAATAAGCAAAGTATAGAAAAACATATATGGTGGTGTTCTACTTTGCCTTTCTGTTGCTATGATAAAAGACTGACCAATCAGCTTTGAGATGAAAGGGTTTATTTGGCTTATACTTGTACATTACAGTCCATCATCCAGGAAAGCAAAAACAGGAACTCAAGGGAGAAACCTGGAGGCAGGAGCTGAAGTAAAGACCATGGAGGAGTGCTGCTGGCTTGCTCAGCTAGTTTTCTTACACAGCCAGGCCCACCTGCACAGGGATGGCATGGCCTGCCAACATCAATTATCAGTTAAGGAAATGCCTCACAGACATGTCCATAGGCCAGTCTGGGGATCTGGAAGTTATTCTTCAATTGAGGTTCCTTTTTCCCAGGTGACCCTAGTTTGTGTCAAGTTGACAAAAACTGCCCAGCACAAATGTGCTTTTGGAAATTTTTTTTTTAAAGATAAGTCTTGTGTAGTTTAGGCTGACTGTGAACTTGTTCTACAGTCCAGGTTGACCTTGAACTAAATGATTCTCCTGCCTCAGCTTCCCATTTACTGAGGTTACCAATGTGTGCCCGTGTGCCTGGCTTTATATGCTTTTTATATTGTAAAAATAAACACATAACACATACATAATGTCCTTTTATATCTATGAATTGTTTTAGGAAGGATGCATTAGAAATTATTGACAGCGAGTGAAGTGATGAAATTAAAAAATTTATATTTTGTTTGAATTATTTATGTAATTGTATATCTTTAAAATAAAATAAATTTAAAGTTAATACTACTGAATAAATTATAAAAGGCTAAACCTGACATTTAGGAACCTTCACTTCTCTTTTGTTCTTAATCAAATTCTATACCCCGCCTGTATAGCATTTGGAAGTATGTCAGCACGGTATTGATGGTTACAGTGTCAAGACATTCTGACCAGCATTAATGTACAGGGACATATGATTCCAGCTTCATATTATTGTGGTTCTATCCAAATGCCTTTAGCCCACCTTTAAGAATCACTTTTTTCCCATTCAGTCCCCATTACCTATGAAAAATTAATATCTGTTTTTTAGTTTGAATTGTACTTAAACTTTAGCTTTCCCATTTCTTTGGTGTAGTCATTCTTTCATCTAAAACATCTTTTCTTTTTGCTTTTACACTTTAATATCTTCTGTTTACCTACTTTATAATTATTTATATGGATTAGTTATTTTTTTCTGCCAGAATTTGAATTTATTTTGGAAGGATATGTGCTTCGTGTGAGTCTTTGTGACCTTTGGAAAATTATTTAGGCTCTCTGTATACCTCAGTATAGCTACGTTGTAGGGTTGCTGTGAGGATTAATAAAATTACTCAATATAAGAACAGAATGATAATCTGAATTTTAGCACATGATTGTGCTGGTTAGTTTTTGTCAGTTTGACACAAACTAGAGTCACCTGGGAAGAGGGACTCTCAGTTTAGGAGTTACTGCCATCAAGCTATCTGTGGAGAATTTTCTTAATAGCTAACTGATGTAGTAGTGCCTAGCCCACTGTGGGCAGCACCATCCCTGGGCAGGTGGGCCTAGGCTGTATAAGAAAAGTAGCTGAGCAAGCCAATAAGGTTCCCCTATGATCTCTGCTTCAGCTCCTGCTTCCGAAGGATTTCTCCCTTGAGTTCTTGCCCTGACCCCTCAACCACAGACTGTAACTTGTAGATAAAATAAACCCTTTCCTTCTGAAGTTGGTTTTGGTCGGTGTTTTATCACAACAACAGAAAGCAAACTAAAGCACTTACATAATGTTTTATATTTAGAAGATTTTCAGTAATATGTAGTATTTTGAGCAAATATGGAATAGTGAATAAATTAAACTGAACATTACTCATTTTCATAGAAACTCAAAAGCTACATTGTTTTTCCAGCCAGTATTTGTTCATTCATTGATTCATGAAATAGGAATTCGGTAGTTGCTATGTAGTAAGCAATGATGGAAGGTGTTGGAAAAATAATGACAAGTTTTAAAGACAAGGAGTCTGCCCATATGGAGCTTATTACATAAATAAATACTTATTGAAATGAGTTTGATATGAGATTATGACAGGATAGAATCTAAATTAGTTTTGCTAATTGAGTAGCGGCCTTTCTTAGTGAAAATAAGTGTGAAGAATTCTCTTTGGTATAAAAAATTAGGCCGGGGGTGGTGGCGCATGCCTTTAATCCCAGCACTCTGGCGGCAGAGGCAGGCGGATCTCTGTGAGATTGAGGGTAGCTTAGTCTACATAGAGAGCTCCAGGCCAGCTGGAGCTACGGGGAGTCCCTGCCTCAAAAATATAAAAAAAAAATTATTGCACCTTTAACCTTTTTATTTTAGAAAATATGGGCTGGAGAGATGACTTAACCATTAAAGGCTCAAACTCAGAACCTAAATATCAAGAAAAGAAATCATCATCATTGTATCTAACATACCTTAGCTGACAAGTTAGCTCTTAATAATCATAATAATTATCAATAATTATCTTTACTCATGTTAACTGAATTTTTGACATCTCTGATACTAAGATTGTTAGAATACTGTTCCAAAGATAGGTTGTATTTTCTTTTTTCCAGTGTGTATGTGTGGGGGGTAGTGTTTAAGTATATGCATGTTTTTGCTTGTGTGTAAGAGTGCATGCATGTGTATGTATGTGCATGTGGAGGCCTGAAATTGATGTTAAGAATCATCTTTGATCACTCTTATACCTTACTCATTGAGGCAGTGTCTCTGAGTCAAACCTAGAACTGGCTGATGTGGCTAGGCTTGTTAGCCAGCCAGCTTGCTCTGGGGATCCCCCTCTTGCTTTCTGAGACTGGGATTATAGGCAAAGGTGCCATGCCCGTTTGGCTTTTACATGGGTTTCTGAGGATCTGGTCTGTAGTTTTCATGCTTGTGCAGCAACCTCTTTAACTGCTGAGCAGTTTCCCAGCCCTAATAGGTTGTATTTAATGATTATATTAAAAATAACTACATTGTGAAAAATTCTATGAAATGAATACTATTATCAAAGTTAGAAGAGGCTTTGAAATTTGGAGAATTCTTGATTTTTGTAATCATAATTTTATATTTAGAATTGTTTGTATTTATATATTTAGGTATTAACGCCACAAAAATTGGAATTGGTAAAAGCTCAAATACAACAAGAATTAGAAGCTCCAATGCGAGAGCGTTTTCGGACTCTTGATGAAGTAAGTAATTAAGTAGAAGAATAACATTCATCTTTATGTCTTAATAAAGAGCATCTTTCCTTTACTCAAACCCTCTGCAGTGGCTCCCTTGTTTTTATTCAGTCCTTATAGTGACTTCTGAGGTTTCTTAGGATTGGACTCCATTGTCTCCCTACCACCCTTTCCATCCAGGATGGTCTCCCGATGTTTGTTTGGCTCTCAAGAAATTGTGTAGTTCGAGAACCTTTGCTTCAGTGTTATTTCTATCTTAAATATTCTTTGGATCTCTTTTGGCTAACTTCTTAACCTCTTGCAAATTTGCCTAAGATGTTACTTTCTCACTAAGGCTTACTTTGACCACCACTACCCCATTTTCCCATTTGATGTTGCAACTGACTTCCTTTCACTACTTAACTTTTGGATTTTACTTGCTCCTATATTTTAGTTTTTCTCTAGTACATGTCACCTTCTAATATACTATCTAATTTACTTAGATATTATAAATATTTTGTTTAACACCTCTAGAATGGAAATTGTATGACAGTAAGCTTTTATTTTTTTTTTGTTCACTATTCCAAGTTTCTAAAACAGTTGTTAGCATGCAGTAGATGAAATAAAATTTACTAAGTGAAAGGATGACTTCCATGCAACTGTATTAGTTACTTTTCCTTTTACTGTGATAAAATACTCTGACAAAAAAACAGCTTAAGGAAGGAAAGTATGCTGGATAGCTTCAGTTGTCACCTTGATGCACCTGGGAAGAGGGAACCTTCATTGAGAAATTTCCTCTGTGGAATTAGCCTATGGGCATGACTGTGAGGCATTTTTTTGATTGTTGAGTGATGTGGGAGGGCCCAGCCCACTGTATGTGATGCCATCCCCCTGGGCAGGTGGTCCTGGGTTGTATAACAAAGCAGGCTGAGCATGGGCTAGAGGAATAAACTAGTAGCAGCATTCTTCTGTGGTCTCTGCTTCAGCTCCTGCCTCCAGGTTCCTGCCTGGTTCTACTTCCAAGATGAACTGTAAGCTATAAGGTAAAATAAACCCTTTCCTCCCCAAGTTGTTTTTGATCAAAGTGTTTTTGTCACAGCAACAAACCCTAAGGCAAAAAGTTGGTACAAGAGAGTGGGATGTTCTTTGACAGACCTGACCATGTTGTCTTGGGGAGGATTGCAGAAGCATTTAGAAGTTTGATCTGAAAAGCCATTGCATGCTTAGAGCTTAATGAGATGTCGTGGGAGCTTGGAAGAGAAGAATGTTTATAGAACTGTAGACAGTGGAGGCTTGTGAAGTTTCAAAGGGAAGTGTAAAGTCCCTCAAAGACTATCTGAGTTGTTCATATGATATATTTGAATTGAGAATTTGTGGAAGTGAAACCTTTTGTGCATTGCTATGACAATTGATACTGGTCAACTGGAGCTGAAAAATCAGCTGTGATTAATAAGAGGCCAGCATCATTGAGGTGAAATCTTCTGGAAAGTATTTCTTCAGGGTCAGTACACAGAGTTGTGGTTCAGAGGGGGCCCAACACAGCATTTCAAAGTAGAAGCCAGACTTGTTGATGTGTAAGAGTCTCTCAGGTGGTATTGGCTTTGGCAGCATCAAAGCTGCAAAATTAAAGGGGTCATGGAGAAAATCTGAGGCTTGATACCCTGAGAAGCCAGGAGAAGCTATTGGTGAAGGTGCACCTTCATTTGCAGTGACGACCTCAGCATGTTAGAGATTCCAGGACTGTGGGATGACCCAAAGAGCAGCAGCAGGTGTGGCATGGAGCCAGTCTGAACATACTGGACAAGTTTTGTTTGTTGTGGACGGCAGAGCTAGAGAAAGCCTGCCCAAGCCTTTTGGAACTCAGAAGATTATGAATGAATCCCAGATGTTAGATACTGAGCTATTTATTTACAGTGTTGGATTTTGTTTATGCTTTGATCTGATTGTGCCTTGGCTCTTCCCTCTCGGAATAAGAAACATTTAACTTGTTCGTTTTTTTTTACAGGAGCCCACAGTTAAGAGACATTGGACTTTTAAAAGTGTTTTGACTATTTTTAAAGACTGTGAAACCTTTTAAAGCTGTACTGTATTTTATACCATGATAGTAACATGAGATCTTATGAACAAGAAATGGAAAGGCTATGATTTAATAGTGATGTGTTGTGTGACAAGTTGACAAGGGGCCAATTGTACTGGATAGCTTCACTTGTCAATTTGATACACTGGGAAGAGAGAACCTCAGTAGGGAAGTTCCTTGATTGGATTGGCCTATGGCCCTGTCTTTTAAGCATTTTCTTACTTATTGAGTGATGTGGGAGGGCCCAGCCCACTATGTGCAGTGTCACCTCTGTGCATGAGGTCTTGGTTTGTCTAAGAAAGCAGGCTAGTACAGGCCAGAGGAGCAAGCCACTAAGCAGCCTTCCTGTGTAGTCCATGCTTCATTCAGTTCCATCCTCCAGATCCTTCTTGAACTTCCTGCCCTCAAGGATGGATGCTGATTAGGACATGTGAGCCAATTAAACCCTTTGCTCTTTAAGTTGGTAGTCAAGAGTGTTTTATCACAGCAATAGAATGATGCTAACTAGGACAGAAGGGTTTTGGGGGGCTCACTGTTTGAGGCCACAGTTGATCATGGTGGGGAAGGCATGGTAGCAGGAGTTTGAGGAGACTGGTAATATTTGCAGCCAGTAAGTAGAGTATAATGAATGCTTGTGTTTAGCTCCCTTTCTTCTTTTTACTCAGTTCAGGACCCCCAACTCATGGAATGGTGCCATCCACAGTTAAGGTGGGTATTCCACCTTGGTTAACCTAATCTAGATAGTTCCTCACAGGCATGCCCAGAGACTAGTCTAATCTAGATGTTACCTCACAGATATGTCTAGAGTCTTTTCCGCTAGATGATTCTAGATCCTGTCAATCACACAATTGATATTAACCATCACATAACCTCAGAAAGAAAAATATTTTTGCTTTGGGTTGAGACCAGCTTTCTAATATGAAGTGTTAATATGTCTAAATGTTTGATGAAGAAGAGGATAAAAACCTGTAGGTTAAAGAAAATTAGGTATTGGCCTAGAAATTTTTTGTAATGTAAGTGTATGAATGTTTTACCTGTGTGTGTGTGTGTTTAAATATACCTGTGTTGTGCAGTGTTTGTGGAAGCCAGAGAGGGCATCTAGCTCTCTGGAACTGGAGTAAAGGATGATTGTAAGCTGCCATGGGGGTGCTGGGAACTGAACCCAGGTCCTCTGCCAGAGCAGCAGTCAGTGCTCTTAACAGCTGAGCCATCTTTCTAGCCCCTGGCCTAGAAATTTTATGTTACCTTTTAAAACAAATATATTAGATCTTACCCATACAAATTATTACTGTCCTTTTTCAAGTAGAACCCTTTGGAGATTGGAGTAGTCTAGCAATACTGCCATTGAATAGGAGCACTTGTGAAATACTCCTTTTATAATAGTTTATAGACTTGACAGCTGATTTTTCAAATGTGCTTCTGTGGCAATGTATCCTAATGGTAATGGTATTATAGTTTTGGTATAGATTTAATTCTTTGGAAATAAAAACCACTCATACAAAGGTAGGTAATCAAGAGCAGCTTTTAAAAGCATAATGTATATTTCTAATGAAATCAACAAGCCTGAGCCCATGTTCTTAGTTTAAAAACTGGCTTAGAAATATCTCAGCTAAAGATTATTAAAATGAATATTTTAGGAGTCATACTTTTCATTGCCAAGTTTCCTGGCATTTGTGGAAATAGACTCTCCTGCACCTATCTTCTCTGTTGCCTAATTTTCTTGTTGAGTATTCAGAGCCCTTGCAACTTTTATAGATTGTTAGGAGGCAAGATTGGAGCACCCTCGTATGTTTCTGGTAAGTCTGGATAGGTGTATTTTAGGCTAGTGTTTTGAGTTGAACTGTTTTAATACTTGATTAAACCTAAGTTAGTACACTAAATATTCAAATAACTTAAAATTTTTATTTATTTTTTATGTGTATGCGTGTACTGCCTGCATGTAGGTAAGTGCACCCATGTTGTGCAATGCCCGCAGAAGACAGAAGAGGATGTTGGATTCCCTGGAACTGGAGTTATGGACAGTTGTTAGCTGCCATGTGGGTGCTGGGATTTGAATCCGGGTCTTCTGCAAGAGTAGTCAGTGTCCTTAACTGCTGAGCCATCTTTCCAGCCCCAATATTCAAATAACTTTGATTTTATCTTGTCAGACTTTTAGAGAGGGATAGCTTATACTTTGTTATACTGACTAAATTTTTGAAAGGCATGCTGCATTCTTACCTAATTTTGAAGTCCAGAGCTGGTGTTCTGTGGTATTACACATGATTAAAATGGTAGTCAGTGAAGAAAAAACATGAATAATCACTTGTTTTATTGGTATTTCCTCATTTGTAGTTTTTTCTTTTTTTTTTTGGTGGGTGGGGGGTTCTTTTTGAGACCTGGCATGGAACTCATTATGTAGACCAGGCTGAACTCACAGAGAACAGCCTGCCTCTGCCTCCCGAGTGCTGGAATTAAAGGCGTGTGCACCATGCTCAGCACATTTTTTTTTCCTTTTTTCATGTGTCAGTGTATGTGGTGTGTGTTCACATGTGTGTGGGTGCGTGTGCATTTCTGTGTGCCTGAGTGTGGATGCCTGGAGTTGACATCAGGAGTCTTCTTCCATTGTTCTCTCCTCCTTAATTTAGAGTCAGGATCTCTCAGTTGAACCCAGTGTTCAGTGATGATAGCTAGCCTAGCTAACTCGCTTCCAGACTCTGTCTTTATCTTCTGAGCACTGAAATCACTAGTGGTCTGCTGTGCCGACCAGGCATTAATATAACTAAAAGTTAGATTGCAAGAGTGATCTTTTTTTTTTTTTTTTTTGAGATGAGCACAAATTTCACTTATAAATTTCTCATATATTTGATTCTTTATAATTTAGGAAGTTGAAAAGTATAGAACTGAATATAATAAGCTTCGCTATGAACATACATTTCTCAAGTCAGAATTTGAACACCAGAAAGAAGAGTTTACACGTATTTCAGAAGAAGAAAAAATGAAATATGAATCAGAGGTAAGTGATTAATTATTGATTTATTGGGATTGTTCTAGTGAATAAAATTTTGCAATTATGTATATTATGTATTTTTGTAAGTCCCAAGTTAAGAGTTGATTATGTAATTATGTTTTATTAATTAGTGGTGAATTAGTTTTCTTTTGTCATCAACATTTTTCTTATTTTTGCTTGTGTATTTTATTTTGCCCTATCCAATGGAGATAGTCGTATTGAATATTTCTATCACAGTCGTGTTGCCCATAGCCAACACTGGGGATGCAGAGGCAGGAAAATCTCTGTGAGTTCAAGGCCAGCCTGGTCTACATAGTGAGTTCCAAGCCAGCAGGGGCTACAGGGAGACCCTGTCTCAAAAAGACCAAAAAAAAAAAAAGCGTGTGCGTGCACACATACACACACACGTATGTATCATTTATGATTCCTTATTTAGTACTGCCCTCTCTACTTAGAACCAAACCACTTTCTGGGTAGTTCTGGTTTAACCCTTGTACCTTGTTGGTGTTGACATAAAGAGTTTATGCCATTAAATTCAGAAACTTCTTTCTGACACTTAAAACTGCAACATTCTCTGCTTCCTACATCTCCAGTGCTTTTCACAACTTCTCTACTCTTTGCAGGTGTTTTCTACTTTCACTGAAAATGGGGGTTTTGCTGGGCGTGGTGGTACACTCTTTTAATCCTAGCACTCAGGAGGCACAGGCAGGTGGATCTCTGAGATGGAGACCAGCCCGGTCTACATAGCAAGTTTTAGCCCAGCTGGGGCTACAGGGAGACTCTGTCTCAGGAAAGGGTGGGGGTTGCTTTTCATTTTCCACATTATTTTTCAATGATTTTTCATGACGAAAGAAAAGAAGTAGCAGTTTCATAAGGTAGGTTGATGTATGTAGTAATGTGCTATCTACTATGCAGAAATATGTCTGCATGTTATGTTTATCTCATTGTGTTTATTTGGAATTAAAATAGTCTTAACAGTTCTTTGCCAGTTACCAAATATTTGTATTTTTTGGCTCATACTGACTTTGTTTTATCAGTGAACAAAGTTTTCTCATTGTTCTGTATGTAAGAAGCTGTCTAAATTCTGAATCATTTGAATCTATAATATTATTATGGACTTTAATTATTATCCCTGGACATTATGAATATTTAAATGGATTTTTTAAACTTTTTTAAAGTTTTAAATGCTTTATTCAGATACTGTTTCACTCAGATTATGATAAGATGGGACAGGACTGTTTTGTTCATTTTAAATTAGGAAACTGAGACACAAGATAAGTGAACTATCAAAAATTTCATGAAGTCAGCAAGTATCTGGCTTAACAGTAGATTGCAGATATCCCAACTTAAGCATCTCTGCTCCTGTCTTAGAGTTTCAGGTTTGAAATTATCAGTGATTTGAGTTTACTACTCTGATCAGTGGCCATCCCACAACTTCAGTTTTGTCAAGGGGTCAGATGATCTAAACTGTGATTCGAATCTGTAAGTATGTAGACTTAAAGACACGTACAAATTTTGTCGTGGATAACAAAAATGATAAAGACTTCAGATTTTCAGTCTAAAATGAAGAATTAGTACATTGAGAGCCAGTGTTCTTAACTGCTGCTGCGCCATCTCTCCAACCCCTATTTGTAGGTTTGAATCTCTTGGTTTTGTTGTGTGTTTGAGTAACAGAAAATTGCATCTAGTATTCAGTGACTAATATATATTTTCCCCATAAATGATCAAATAATATTTAAATTTTAACATAAGGTGCTGGTAGAGTCTAGAAAAGTAAGACTTTCTGATAAAATTTTCAGAGTGAAGTCTACTTTTGCTACCTTCTCATTTACATTTTAAACTCTTATAAATATATAATTTCGCATCTAAAAATGAAGATATGCAGTTACTATTTATTCATTTTTAAGCAGGGACTCACTACGTATCCCTGGCTGGCCTAGAACTCGCTTTGTAGACTAGACTGGCCTCCATCTCACAGTGATCTGCCTCCCCAGTGGTGGGATTAAAGGCATGTGTCACCATGACAGGCTTTGTTTTATTGTTTTTATTGTACTTTACTGTTACTGCTTTCTTAAAGCATAAATTGAAGTTTTGGGATATCTTTGTATTAAGCAAGATCATTGGTGATATTTCTTCCAATAACATGTGTTTCCTTCAAGTTTCTACAGTTGGTAATATTGACAGTAATGTGGCAAGTCTCATACTGTTTCAGACTTTTTCATTATTATATCTGTTATGGTGATCTGTAATCAGTGATCTTTGATATTATAGTAATTGTTTTGGGGTGCCATGATCTGTCCATGTAAATCAGACTGAATTTATTCAAGAAATATTGTAGATTCTGACTGTACTACTATTCTTCTGATCTCTCCTCCTCCTTGGCTCTCCCTATTCCTTGAGACACATGATAATAGAATTAGGCCAGTTAGTACTTTATAGATGCCTTTAACTATTCAAGTGAAATTTAACCCCAAAGTTGGAAATGATTGATCTTAATGGAGAAGGTGTATTAAAGGCCAAAACAGGTCAAATCTAGTTAGGTTGTGAATGCAGAGGGAAAGTTTTTTTAAGGAAATTAAAAGTGCTACTCCAGTGAACGCACAGAAGAATAAGAAAGTGAAATAGCTGATACAGAAAAGTTTATTGTTTGACTAAAAGAACAGTATGGCCTCAACGTTCAGTTCTATGAAGGCTGAGAAAGGTGTGTCAGTCATCTTACCAAATACCTGAGATAAACCAATTTATAAAGAGAAAAACTTTACTTTGGCTAATGTTTTTGGAGATTGCATTTATGACTGGTTGATCCTGATGCTTTGGGCCTCTAGCAGGACATCATTGTGGGAGCATTGAAGCAGAGAATGTAGAAGGAAAAAAGATGAAGAAGGGGGGTGAGGCCTCCTTTGGGGCCACATCCCATGATAGGAAGCATACCCACTAGCTCTCCTCTATCTTAACATTTTTACTATCTCCTGAAAGCCCCAAGCTGGGGAATAAGCCTTTCACATGCTTGTTTTGGGGGAGACATTGCAGGTCTAAATTATAGTAGTGAGGAAGCTATAGAAGGAAAGTTTGAAACTAGCGAGGTTTGTTCATAAAATTTAAGTCCAGAGCTGTCTGAGAACATAAAAGTGCAAGATGAAGCAGCAAGTGCTGTTGGATGAGCTGCAGCCTGTTATTTGGAAGCTTTAGCCAAGATTATGATGAAGTGATTACATCAGGCAGATTTTTGATGTAAACAAAACTTTTTATTGGATGTAGGTCCTGTTTAGGACTTGAAAGAAGTCATTGCCTGGTTTCAAAGAGCAGACTGACTTTCTAGTTAGAGGCAGATGAAGAGAAGTTGAGAAGTTGAAGTTAAGTAGAAGCTGGTACTCATTTACCATTCTGAAAATTCTAAGGCCCTTAAGAATTAGACTGAGATCTGTTCTGCCTGTTCCTGTAAATGCAGCAGTGGTGCCTAGATGGCAATATTTACAACATATTTCACTGAATTTTTTTTTTTTTTTTTTGGTAATTTTTACTTGATTTTTCTTCCCCCGCAAGGGAAGTTTTAGGAATAGGCTAAGAAAGGAAACTGATTGG